CTTGTATGAGCCACATTTGGACTACTACAACGAAATGAGCTTTTTAGACTCAGTAATAGTTTTGAGAAAACCCGAAAGCAAGTTGGTTAGTTGAGTTCAAATTACACCATACATTCTTCTTATTTGTATTCTTGTATTACCTTTTTTACGGGATGTTGTAGAACCGAGGTGCGAACCAGTGAAGAATAATGATTTGGAAGCAACATTAGTTGATGAGGAATGCAAAGGGCAAGAGCAACAAATATCCGCTACAAACATTCCAGCAAACCTTGCGTCATCTCGATATCCGACTCAATCCCCTACTAATTCATTCGCATCATCTACCCCATCTATATTGTCGACACGTCGTCGTCGTCGGGCGACTGGAACGGAGTGCGACAGGAACAGAGTGTTCAACAAAGCGATCCAAGATATAGTCTCATCTGCTGCAATCACAGAGCCGGAATATGAATTTACTTCATTTGGAAAGACAATTGCACTCCAACTGCAGCAATTGTCACTGTCTACAGCAACGGTGACCATGTCAAAAATACATTAAATGGTGTCAGAGGCTTTGGTACAGTATTTGGAACCCTCCCATGTGCAAAGAAATTCAGACATATTGCAAGCTGCATTAGATGACGCAGATATATATATCAAGAATTAGATGTTTATGTTAGGGCTTGCCGGTACCGCCTAATCGGAAAAGCATCAATATAAAGCATCAGCCCCTTTTATTTCTAATCTAAAATTAATTGTAAGTTCCAATTCGGTATTTAACAGTGGTTGCGCATATTCGACATTTTATTAATTATAATTTAGAAATAAAAGAGACGGATGCTTTGTATTGAGACATTACCGAATATGTTGGTAATCTTTGGAAGCAAATTGTATTACTTACCCTGTCCCAGTACCCGTCAAATTTACAAAATTCAGTCAGAAGGCTCCCATACATAAATAGGTCGATCTTCCACTCAGCCGTCCATATGTGTATGTATGTATATACATATACAGTCATGTGAAAAATATTAGGGACATGATGTTTTGACCAGTTTTGGCGATTTTTCTTTTGTCTATTTAATGTTTATTATTTGTTTATAAAAATACAGTTCACTATCGAATAAAAACCATATACAAATGTAAGTTCAAATTTCAAACTTTGTAGAAAAATTATAAAATGTCAACAAAATTTTACCACTAACTTTGCTAAGAATTTTGAGGAAAAAATCTAAGTATGCAATTTTATAGCCCATTAAATTCTAGCTTAAGAAAGTGCATGTTTCAAGTGGCTAGGAAATCGCCTTAATTTTTGACATTTTTTTGGAGGAGGGTATTATTATTTACTTCCACACAAAAAAAAATTTCGAATATACTTTGCGTAGAAGAAAATGTGTGATACCCTCAAGAAAAAATTATCAAAAATCAACGCGATTTCCTAGCCACTTGAAGCTTGCGCTTTCTTTAGCTAGAATTTAATGGACTATAAAATTGCATTCTTAGAATTTTCTTAGCAAAAACTTTGTGGTAAAATTTTTTTGAATTTTTATAATTCTTCTACAAAGTTTGAAATTTGCACTTATGTATATATATGGTTTTTATTAGATAGTGAACTGTATTTTTATAAACAAATAATACACATTAAACAAATAAAAGAAAAATCGCCAAAACAGATCAAAACATCGTGTCCCTATTATTTTTCACGTGACTGTATATGCATCTATGCCCAAAATAGTAGAAATTGCATTGATTTAAATTTTTTTTGACGGTATCACCCATTTTCTTCCGTACAAAGTATGTTCCACAGTTTTTTATATAGAAAGAGCACAGCATCGCCAGTAAAAAAATATAGAGAAATCAACGCGATTTTTATTATTTTGCCCATAGTTGTATCTAAGTAATACATTTTACAAACAATTTTTTTTTATTCTACACATCTTTTCAAAGCACAATAATTTCAATTGCAATGTTAAGTGATAACAAAAGCATCGAAACGATAAACATTTTGTTTTTTATGTGGAGCATAAATGAAGTTTTTGGTTTGAAGGTTTTCTTTTATGAAATATGCTGTCATACTTTCTATAAGTATTTATTTGCTAAGTAATAATTTTTGTTTTATCCAGCCAAAATTCTTTTACCTTGTTTATGTAACTAATAAATAAATGGAAAGCAATTTCTTTTTAGGACCTACATATTTCTGTAGTTTATTTTGACTATGTTTTGCGCTAGCACAATTTATAAGTTATAAAGTTCCCTTATTCGAAAACGAAAGCCACATCAAAGTTTCAAAATCTGCACAGGATTCCAAAACATTCTTTAAATTTTAAAAATTCGTCATTGAAGTTTCAATGAAATTTTTTTGAGTATGCAGTTTTTTAGCCGATTGAGTTTTAGTATAATAAAGTGCAAGTTTCAAGTAGCTAAGGACTACCAAAAATCTCAAAAATTAACGGTAGTCCTTAGCCACTTGAAACTTGCACTTTATTATACTAAAATTCAAGGGCTAAAAAACTGCATACCCAACAAATTTAATTGAAACTTCGATGACAAGTTTTTAAAATTTAAAGAATGTTTTGGAATCCTGTGCCGAGTTTGAAACTTTGATGTGGTTTTAGTTATCGAATTACGTTAAGGTTTACTAAAAATTTATGAAAAATATTTATAATGAAAAACGTTGTGAATATTGGACCATTTTGACTGTGAGTTACCATATGCGTATTACTTACAAACATACAATTTTAATTTTTAGTTCAATGTATGTTAGTTTAAATAAATTTTGGAATGCAGCCTTAGGTTGAGCATTACGTTTGTTTAACTGTTTGCTTCTTTATCTTTGCCCATTGAATGGGGACATCCCCATCGGTTACACAATATCTTCGGACTCTGTCCCTAATTTGTGATGCGTACTTATATGAATTTTGTTCTTTAGCTGGTAAGGATATCATGGTCTGAGGAAGGCTGCAAGGCTCAGTATCCATGTCTGTAATTGGTGTCTTGGTGGATTTGTTGGTGAAATAATTGTGCAAGATACAACACGATCTGACAACAAGATCACACGTTTTGAGTGATACCTCCATTGGACGATTAAATATTCTGAACCACGATGCAAATCTTCCAAATGACATTTCAACGGTCATTCAGGCTCTACTCAATCTGTAGTTGAATATTTCATCAGAGGTTACTGCTTCGGTTATATTCCTTAAGCATGTGTTGATCAAGCCCGAAAATATTGTCAGCAATAAAAAAAATATGGGGTAGGAACAGGAAAATTCGTATGCTATTATAGCTTTAAATTCACCGGATTGCCAGAATTTGGATAACATAAGTAGATCTCCCTCTATTAGTGCTAAAAGTACTACAGATGGCCAGGCGGAAT